CCCGCCCGCCGCGCTGAACCCGAGGCCCAGGCCCGGGGTCCGGGCGCGGGCCAGGCGGCGTGGCCGGCCGCCGCCGCCTCGACTCTGGCGCCGGGTGAAAGCCGATGCCTGCAAAGAGGGCAGGCCCCTTTAAACTCGTTCCCGTCTCTTCCTCCTCTTCATTCTGCCTCTAGAAACCATACATATGTTTTGTTGTAAATCCGCTCTAGAGCAAGCCCTGGCTTCTGCCTGCTTCTCAGAACCACCCAAGGCCTATCTCTTATTTTCTCACCCCCTTCTTCCTGCTTTATTATTCTTCTTCCCTTCTGATTGGATACTAGAACCTTCTCTTTCACTTCTCTCCGAAGTCTCTAAGAGCTTCTGTCTCCTCCACCCCTTGTGGCCTGGTAGTCCCTGAGCTGGGTAGGGAGGGGAGAGGTTCTGGTTCCTCCTCATCTTTAGTTTATCCTCTCATAAGTACTCCTATATTCTAATAATAATTTCTAAGACTTATTGAGTGCATGGGACAATGTCAAGCACTTTTATGTATATTTATTCCTTTCAGGCCTGTGAGATAGACACTATTAGTACCATTTTTTTTTTTTTTTGATTTGAGAAAACCAAGGCACAAACAAGTGACTTAGCCGGCCCAAGGTTGAATGGCCAATAAGTGATAGTGCTAGGATTCAAAACTCAATGGTCTGGCTCCAGAGCCCACACTAGCTCCTACAATCTACTTCTCTCTCTCTCTTTTTTGAGTCAGAGTCTCGCTGCCACCCAGGCTGGATTGCAGTGGCACGCTCATGGCCACTGCAACCTCCACTTGCTGGGCTCAGGAGATCCTTCCGCCTCAGCCTTCCAAGTAGCAGGAACTACATGCATGTGCCACCATGCCCAGCTAGTTTTTCTTTCTTTTTTTGTTTTTTTGACTTCTCTTAAACAACAACAAAACCGTGAAGTTCACATGTAAAAAAGAAGAAACAGTCTGAGTTTCTACTATGTGACAGTTTGTTACTGAATCCTCACATGTCACTTGAGGCAGTCCATATGTTCCCAATGATAAAGCAGAGGCTTAGGGAGGTAGAGTAGCTTGCCCAAGGCCAAATATTTAGAAGTGAATCGGAAAGTCAATCCCAGGTCTGTCTGGCTCTGGAGTCTGGTTTTTGCATTCCATTAAGCTGCTGCCTTTGCCCTACTGGACTGGACAAATAGTAGGTCTTTATCCCGGGTCAACAAAACTGAAAAGCAAAGGATAGATGAAAAGCAGACCTGTAGCCGGGCTCGGTGGCTCAGCCTGTAATCCTGCGCCTTTGGGAGGCTGAGGTGAGTGGATTGCCTGAGCCTGCGAGTTTGAGACCCTCCCGGGCAACTTGGTGAGACCTCATCTCTACAATAAATCAAAAACTAGCCAGACGTTGTAGCGCGCGCCTATAGTTCCAGCTACTTGGAAGGCTGAGGCGGAAGGATCGCCGGATCCCAGCAGGTCGAGGCTGCGGAGGCCAGGAGCGGCCACTGTACTCCAGTCTGGGCAACAGAGTGAGACTCCAACTCAAAAAAAAGAAAAGCAGAACTGTGAGAGGAGTTGGGGGCTGGGGTTCCTTCCCTCCCTAACCAATGGTGTTTGACATGGAGTGTGGGGGGAAGGGTACGTCCAAGTTTAAGAAGCCATGTCGTTAAACCCACAGTTCTTCTCCCTACAGTACTTCCCATTGTTAGTACTTCCTTCCAGAAACATACTGGAGAGAGGGCAGGTGACAAGAACTTGCCACTTCTCACCCATCATAGGAAGGAGCCCGGGAGTTAACAAGAGCCACTGTTCCTCAACAAGCTTTTTCACTAGGAGGGTCCGATACACAGTTAAAATCTCCAGATATCCATAGTCCTCAGAGGGCTTAAGAAAAAAACCTATTTTGTCTGCCACAGCAGTCAAAGGATCAAACCCATGCTTTCCTGTATTTTAAATGAACGTGAGTAGTTCTTTTCCTGACAAAATCTGCTCAAGGACTGCTGGAAACTGACAAACTCTTCAGTCTGGCACTCAAGGCCTTTTCCAACCTGCCCCTCAACTACACTTCTAACCTTCTCTTCTTCTACTTATATACTGGTCAGGTGCTCTCCAGTTCCTGGTCCTTTGCTCATGCTATTCCTGTGCTTCATCTGTTGAAATTCCATCACTTCTTTAGTTCTCATCCAAAATACCACTTCCTCCTCCCACAGAAAGCTTCCTACCCACGCTTCTCCTGAGCATTCATGCCAAGATGTATTCGATCCCCGTTAAAACTCCAGAATACCTAAACTGGACTTAACTACCCTCTCTCCTGCCCCTCCCATCCCAGTCCACTGCCACTGGCTTGCTTAGCGGGCAGTCTTAATAGCCCATTAGATATCTGCCGGACAGCGTGTGAGTGGCTGCTATGCCAGGCCCATCTGCCTACGTTGGGAGGGGGTTGGCGACCCGACTGCGGCCTGAGCTTCTTGCACTCGACTTTCCCCACCACCCCTGCAGCCCGAGTTCAACTTTGGGTAGAGTCCCACAGGCACCAATTGCAGCTTTCCTGTCGCCATAGCGACGGGTGGGGCGAGAAGGCAAAGTCTCCCTTTGGAACTACATCTCCCATCATGCATCCGGGCCCCAGGGTGCCGGGCTCAGCCTGAGGCCTGAGACCCGGGTTAACCCTCGCGAGCTGCGAGGGGTCGGGGACCAGGAGCAGAGCGCAAGAGGAGTGCCTCTCTGCCCTGCCCACTGCGGGGGTCGCGGATCCTCACCACCTAGCAGGTCTCTCGGGCCCCGGCCTGCCCTCGGCACCGCCACATGGGCCTAATATGGCCGCTGGTGCTGGCTCCGGCCGGGCGCGCGGAGAGCCGGACAGAGGCCCAGGGTCAGGAGTTGCTCCCGGCATCCCTCGCGGGTGTGGCGTGGGTCCCTCCCCCCATCTCCGGGTCCCGCGAGAGGGAGACCCTCGGGTTTTGAGGTGAGACCCGAGGCTTTGCTGGCCGGTACTGCAGTGGGGAACGGTGGGTCATCCCGGGCAGGGAGCCACTGGCCTCTCGGGGTGGCAAGGCGTAGGGAGGGGGCGTTGAAAGGACAAATGCTGGCGGCCTGCTTCCCGGGAGCCCTTTGGATTGAGGACATCATCCGCAGTAGAAGGGATTTCACTGGAGACCTGTCATTGTCAGAGCCTTAAAACATCACAGACGGGACTTTTTGTCACCGGGACAGAAAGAAGAGGGCAGTAGCCCAAGCAGAGTTCTGCGACAGTGTGTGTGGGTGTGTGCGCCTCTTGAGTTCTTCCAGAGACGGGTCTGTGCTGAGCTGTCGCCTCGCGGGGCTGAGCACCAAGCTTTGCACCCTTGGGAGCTCAGCGACTGTTTGTTGATCAACCACTTGCAGGTAACATGGCCCCTGGCTTGATTGAGCTGGAGCGAAAGTTCATTCCAGGGCCTGGCATAGAGGAGCGACTGCAGGAGTTGGGCGGCACCTTGGAGCATCAGGTCACCTTCCGAGACACCTACTATGACAACTCTGAGCTGGGCCTCATGCGGGCTGACTACTGGCTGCGCCAACGAGAGAATAGTGGATGGGAGCTCAAATGTCCTGGAGCAGCAGGTGTCTTGGGACCCCACACTAAGTATATAGAACTCACAGCTGAACCTGCAATTGTGGCCCAGCTCTGTGAGGTGCTAGGGGCTGAGGCCCTGGGGGCTGGAGGTGTGGCTGCTGTCCTGGGCTCATTGGGCCTGCAGGAAGTGGCTAGTTTCGTGACCAAGCGGAGTGCCTGGAAGCTGGTGCTCTTGGGAGCGGATCAAGAGGAGCAGCCGCTCAGGGTGGACTTGGATACAGCCGACTTTGGCTACGCTGTGGGCGAGGTAGAGGTCCTGGTGCATGAGGAGGCTGAAGTACCAGCTGCCCTAGAGAAGATCCACAGACTCAGCAGCATGCTTGGTGAGGGAGGCAGGCCCTTTTGTGCTTTCCCTGTTCCCCACTTTCCTCTTCAGGAGCCACCCACTGGACTGAGCGGGGAGGGCTCTGGATTATCTTTGTAACAGGAATTGTTTTAGCAATTTCCTGGAGGACCCAGTTTGCTTAGAGTTCTGTCAGATCTGGCTTCCTCTCTAAAAGTAGCTTAATCCTTCTATGCATCTCCAATCTTTATCCTAGTCGTCCTGTCTCATTTGGGCCTCATACCTCTACTTGGTCTCCTTCTGTTTCATGGGTCATTTTCCTGCTTTGACCCTTCCTTCCTCCAAACGGCTATCCTTTTTTCACAACCACCTAGATCCTCTTTTAATTTGTCCTGTTGGGTGTTAGTAACAGGCAGCAACACTGTATGTGAGATAGTGGGGTAAGCTTTGGCAGATTTTTCTGTTCCTGGGTGTAGTTCCCTTGCAGACATTTCATCCACACAAGCAGGGGGTTGCGTATCCCATGGGGCCTGACAGCCCCGGAGTGCTGTTTGAGCCTCCTTGGCAAACATACTCTGAGTTCCCTTCTATGTGCCCAACAAGTTGCCAAGCACTAGCAGACACTGGTAATAGGCAGCTCCTATGTATACTACATACAGGTGAGAATTCTGTGTGAACGCCATCCCATGGCTAGAGCTTCATCTCTCCTCTTTTTTTCTGCAGCCCTTGGTTACTATGTGTACCAAGTGCTTCATTACCAAGCTAATGAGCTTTGGCCTGCCTAGATGGGCTTTAATCTTGAATGGGGGACGGGGTGATAACTGAAGTAAGTCGATATTGATGCATCCTTTGTCTTCATGGGGCCTGGGTGCCTGTTTATAATTTCTCCTTGCTGGGGCAGAGGCTCATGTATGGCTTTCCAGCCCCACTTCTGCCTGAAGTGGCTCTTTTAGGTTCTTCCACAGGCCAGTGAGGGAGTGGGCTGGTGGGTTACAGCTGGGTGGATGGCATTCAGAATCCCACTGCTACCTTGGAAACAATGTTGGGGTCTTGGCTGGGTGGGCAGGGAGCAGATCCAAAACGTTTGTGGCTCTGTCTGCTGCTTTCCTCATTGTCCTTTCTCTGTAGGTGTGCCAGCACAGGAGAAAGCACCTGCCAAGCTGATCATGTACCTACAACGCTTCCGGCCTCAAGACTATCAGCGCCTGCTAGAAGTGAACGGCTCTAGAGAGAAGCCACAGGGGACTAAACATCCTGATGGCATCCTGGATTAGGGGTGTCACTTCCTAGAAGGGGAATGGAACTGTGGGTCTAATAGGGTTCACTCCTGGGCTCACTCTGTCTCTGCCCTCAGCTTCCCTTCTGACAGTGACTCCTCTCTCAACAGCTCTGTTTCTTCACCCTACTCTAAGCTGCTCTTCCTGGAGCCCTCCCTGGGCTGCTTCCTCTCCCTCATCCGTCAGATGCAATCTGTGGGCCGCCCCTCTCCCCTGGCCGCTAAGCAGCCTCCATTGATTTCCGCTCGTGTTTATAGGATTTCCACTTAGCCGTGATCAGTAGTTAAGCACAGGAAAATCCCTTGCCATCCCCCCTCCCTTGGTCGATGCCATTGATTCTGCCAGCGGCTCCTAAACCGCCTTACAGCTGAGTTAGAGATGAGGGGAGGCAGCAGGGATTTCCCTGCCTTGGGGTGTAGGGAATAGCGGCAAGTTGGGGAAATGGTTGGGAATCCCTGCTAGAAATCTAGATTCTGATTTGATCTTGCCACTGTGCCTAGCACTGGCCCAGAGGGTACAGTGCCTTCTGTGGAAGTTTAGGGGCAAATTTGCTCCCCTCCTTGGAGAGGGGTAGAAAGAAAAACCCTCCTTGTTAAGAGAGACTCGGGAAGATTCGTACTTCCTGTGTAAGAAGGTTCTTCTGGGGTAGGCATTGCCTCACCCTGTAATCCCAGGACTTTGGGAGCTTGAGTCCAGGACTTTGAGACCTGTCTGGGCAACAAGACCCTGTCTCTCCAAAAAAAAAAAAAAAAAAAGTTCTTCTTTTGCTGTTACTCATAACTTGTACACATTTTCTACTTCAAATATGCCCAAATATGACTTTCCTCTCCCTTCAGGCTTTATTGGGCTTTCATTGCTTGTGAGAGGGGGACAGGCCCCCCTGTTTTTGCAGTGGCAAATGCAGGGCCAGAGTGCCACCTGCTGGTAGCCCTCAGTTGAAGGTTCCAAGCTGCTCAGGATCCCTGGGGTTTGAGACACCACAAAATTTCAGGCTGAGTGGAGACAATTACTGCCATGTTTCCATAGGCAAGTTGTTCACCTCAAAGATCTCCTGCACTGACTGGCCGAAGTGGTTGTAGGTGAGGCGCAGCTTTAGCCGCAAGGGGGCCTGAGAATAGGAGAGCAAAGACCAGGATAAGCACCCATGGCTTTTCCCACCCCTGGGTCTTATCCTTGAGGGACTCCCAAAGCTCACCTTGTTAGGATTGAGGATTCTGAAGAGCTGGGTGATAGGGAGGCCACCCTGAGCTGGAACTGTGTCCCCACTGGGAACCTGTAGCTGCAGCTGAAAACTCTGAACATGGGAGGGTTGGGCAGAACACAGAAAGGCAGCAGGCTAGGCTCAGGCAAGCCCTCCATAGCCAGTGGATTCCAAAATTCCTTCCCACAGCTCCCCGGGTTGTCTCTGTAGATTGCTCCCTTCCCATCTCATCCCGTCTCCCACCCACCTCCTCTACTTAATGGCCTTTTCTCCTGGAATGCCCAGGTCACCTCTGACCCTGATCCTTACAAACCTTGGGCACAGCAGCCTGGCAGATGAAGTGGGTGACATCACCCCCTGAGGAGTTGGTGACAGTGACGGTGATTAAGAGCAAAGCAGGGGTCCCAGGGGGTCGAATGAAAGACAGATTCAGCTGTACTCCCTTGCGCTCAAACACTCTGAGATTTGGGATGGGAGCTAGAGTAGGGAAGAGAGGTAGCTCAGTGTGTAGGCTGGAGATAACATGTTCATTCATTCAACAAAAATTGAGTGAGCACCTACTGGCCCTGTGCTACTCTAGATGCTTACTCGAGATGCTAGTGACAAAGCAGACAAGAAAACGAGGTCGGAGCTTACAGTCTAGTGGGGGGAAAGAAATAAAAAAACAAGGTAATCACAGACCAAAAAAAGTGGTCTGAAGGAAATAAATTATGCCAGAATAACTGGGAAGAACTAACTTAAATAGCAGTGGTAGGGAAAGGCATCTGACATTTTAGCTGAAGCCTGAAGAGTGAGAATGAGCTGGTCATTCGATGTACTAGGGAAGGAACGTTCCATATAAAAAGAACATGAAATGCCAAGGGTGGGAAGGTGTGAGGAACTGAGAGGGGGCTAGTGAAGTGGGCAGTGGGAAATGGTGTGAGAAGGACTGGAAAGGAAGCAGGGCCCTGCAGGCTAGGGTAAGAAGTCTGCAACAAATTGAAGGGTGGCCAGGACACTGGTGTGACTAAATTAACCCTTTACTACTGAGGTGGCGGTGGGACAGGGGGGCACCCAGGAGGAAACTCCCATGTTCATAGTTTCTATGAGTCTTAGGCCTTGGCTTAGAATGAGAACCAGCACATTTCCACCCACTTCTAAGACATCTCATCTTTGCTGAGGCTTACCCAGGGGTGGAGGTTCACAGGGAAGGTCAAGGAGGTGGCCTAGGGCAACTCCTGGGGAGGGATCCAGTGGGGGAGGATGCTGGGCATCCCCAGAAGGTCCATCCAGGAGATCTAGCAGATCCAAGAGCTTTGAGGCCTGGGGGGAGGGCAAAAGGGTCAGGGCAGGATATGGAAGCCCTTGTGTACTCACCCAAGGCTCCCAGCCTCCTCACCTGGGGCTCTGTGGACACAGGGGCTGCTTCTGAAAGCTGGGCTGCTTCTTTGCTTTCTTCTGCTTCCTCATCCACCTGGCGGCCACCTCGCTCCACAAGAGGCATTTTTTCAAGGATGGCAGCCCTGAGAAGATGGAATACAAGTGTGTCCCTCTGTGTGGCTGGTTGCTGGGCCGTTCACAAGAGGCATCTGGGAGGGCCGAGAACATGAGAGTCCTGGGGACATGGTGGGTCAGAAATGCTCTTCTGATTTCCTAAGATGGCATGTTGCTGGTTTTCAGGTGAAAAAGAAGCTGGGGAAGCCAGCTTAGCTTCAGGGAACAGTGGAGAGGAGGTTCCCACCGTGGATGAGGAAGGATGCAGGTGAGGATGAGACTCTTGTACCTAGAAAGGGGCATCTGGGAGAGAGCAGGGGCTGGGTCCTGCACTGCAGCCGGGTGACGTACCTCATGTAGTCGTACTTCCGGAAGAGTGCATTATATTCTACAGCCCGCTGCTGCAGCTCCACGTCCAGACAACTCCCATAGATGGACACCACCTGGCGGATGCGGCTGGGCCACAGTGTAGTTAGTGTGTGAGTGGCAGTGGCAGTGTGCCCTGCCCTTCCACTCCAGGATGTGGCAGGGCAGGAAGATATCCAAGATTTGGCTTAAAAGCAAGAACTTAAGGACTGGGGGTGAGGGTGGGTGTAGGGATACATGTGCCTGGGGAGAAGCTCAGAAACAGGTGGGCACAGTGAAAGGACATCTCTCAAGGGGCTGGGACCCCTTCTTACTTGTTGTCCCCAGGGAGCCGGGTGCTGAGCTTCATGAGGGCAGTGAGGACGTATCCTCGGGTGGCTGGTAGGGACATATGAGACTGCAGCACCTTTTCCAGCAGTGCCAATATCTCCTCATCTCCCACCTGCAGACAGAGACACAGGTAGTGACCCTGGGCCAGTCCTGCTTCCCTGACGAGTCTCTTCTCAGCATACCCTCAACGTAGGTCTCACCTGAAGAGGCTCAGTTTCCTCGCTGTTCCCCTCCAGCAGGAGGTCGCCATACTCCCCGATGCACCAGGCTGCCACTTGCACCAGTGGTTGCTGCGTGGGATAAGGAACACTGCTGGGACAGTGTCTGGGGTCCCTTCCTTACTTCCAGAACAGGCACTATCCCTTTAGGCAGTGCAGAGTTAGTGTGGGGAAGGGAAAGTTTGCTCTGTCTGGTGCCTGGGCTCCCATTGCCCTCTGGTGGCCATGCATCAGAACTACATGGCCTGACCACAAAGGACCAAGGCTGAGTGAGGGTCCCTCCCATGTGGGAAAGATCTACTTAGTTAACATGGAAAGGGGGATATAGATACTAGCTGGCATCTGTTAATTCATCCACATTCAAGGTAATAATAAAACCCAATACAAGAGCTTTTATCTAGCTTAATCCTCAGGACAGCTCTGGGAAATAGGATAGAAAGGGTAGGCAGTGTACATGGAGCATAAAGTTAAATTAGTCACCTGTGGTTACACAGCCAGTAGGTTACCCGAGTCAGGTTTTTTTTTTTTTTTTTGAGTCGGAGTCTCACTCTATTACCTAAGCTGGAATGCAGTGGCACACTCTTGGCCACCTCAGTGGACTCAGGTGATCCTTCCGCCTCAGCCTTCAAAGTAGCTGGAACTACAGGCACATGCCACTATGCCCAGCTAATTTTTTTTATCTATTGTAGAGATGAGTCTCACCAAGCTACCCAGGCTGGTCTAGAACCTGTGGGCTCAAGCAATCCTCTCACCTTGGCCTCCCAAAGTGCTGGGATTATAGGCGTGAGCCACTGCGCCTGGCCTGAAGCCCATGTGTTTTAACTAAAACCAGGGCTCTGTCCTTGGGTGTCTCCTGCATTAAGCAGATGGCTGTGACCTTTTGGGGAGAATAGTTAGGCATCTGGTGTGGGGAGGACGTAGCTTAGGATAGGCTACAAAGCGGCTGGGCAGCCCTAGGCCTAGGTTGGTGGGAATGGTACCTGGGAGATGTCGTGTGCCAGCGCACTGTAGAGGCGGCGCACAGAATAGGCATGTAGCTCTTGGGCACCCCCAATCAGCTGGATTAGGTTGGCCACTGCATCATCCCGTACGTAGGTGCCTGCCTGGAGGGGGTGAACATGGCCAAGTCAGTGTGGTGAACCCTGATCACTTCTGCCCAGCTCTCTGTCTAGCTTCTGCCTCACCGTTGTCAGCACATGCAGGATGGTATCTATGTGCCACCGCTTGGTTGGAGCAAACCTAGAGAATATATGGCTCATCAGTCCTGGTACTGACCTTCCCCGGATTCCATCCTCTCTGTTTTCTGGGCACCTCACCTCTCTGCAGCCAGCAGGATACCTGAGGCACAATTAGCCCGTAGATCCGGAGGGCAGAACTCCAGAAAGGCCTGTAGCTCCTGTGTCATGGCTCGCACGTTGGAGCTATTCACCAGAGCCAGGCTTAGTTCCAGGGCCCTTCTGGCAGGAGAAAGATAGGTATCCATGTGGGTAGCCCAGGTCATCCCACTCCATGACTCAGGCCCTACCCTCCAGCTGCTCTGAGCTGGCTTGGGTCTTGGCTCTCTGCTCTGCTCCCTTGTCCCTCTAGCTCTGCTTACCGGCTGAGGGAGGTATCAGTTTCCCGTAGACATTCCACCACTGTGGGCCGATGCCGCTGCACAGCACTGTGATCAGACTGCACCAGCCGGAGCAATGATGTCAGGGCCACATACCTGGTCAGGGTGGGAGAGGCCCTATCGTGTCATAGCTCTCAGCCCCCATCCCCTGTCCTGCCCTGGGTATAGAGGTAAGAGAGGAAGCCGAGCAGAGGGCCAGGGACTCAGTGCACAGCCTAGCCAGACACCTGGGATTATTACCTAATGTTCTTGTCACTGTTGAGCAGGAAGCAGCCAAGAATGTTGACAGCTAGGACCTATGAGGCAAACAGTGGGGGCAGTCAGGGAAGGAGCAAACTGCTCATTCAGTAGTAGGACCACATGGCACAGGATGATAGGGGTAGGGAAAGACCAGTGAACAGGGCCTGTGTGTAGGGGGAGGGTGGTGGGTGGGGCCACAATGGGAGTCTTATGGGGTGATACCCGTAGACCAGCTGCAGAACGGATGTCCATGATGGTGAGCACTGTCTCAAACAGGACCGCATTGCCAGCATTTCGGCTGGTGTCTGTGTTAGTGGCCACCTGAGTAGATGGGAGAGGAGATGCATCTGCACAGAGCTCTGTCCTCTCCGGTCTCCTCCAAGTCATCTCTCAATGCTTCAACAAAGTTCCTTGAGCCTCCACTATTTGCCAGGGTCAGCATGGACACTGGGGCAATAGCACTAAGACAGACTATTCCTCCTTTATGGAGTTCAATGTCTAGAGGAGACAGTCGATTGAATGACCACTGTGCAGTGAGTGGCCATGTGAGGGATGTCCAGGGTAGGGTCACAGAGTAACACACCTAATCAGCATCTCCTCCCTAGTCCCTCACCTGGGCCAGCAAGTCATTCATGGTCTCACTGCTCTCCTCGTGGTTCCGGCCCAGAATCCGAAGCAAACGAAGTATCTGGACCTGAGGTTGAAAGGTGGAGGGGTTCAGAGGATAAAGCATTGTGAGGCTGAGAAGAAAAATTCAACCATGAGTAAAACTGTACAGTTCTTGCTAGCTTCCTAGAGCCTCTGCCCCTCTCTCTCTCACCTCTGTACCTCTGTGGGTCCTTCGGGTCATGGGAGGGGATCAGAGGTGTGCGAGGCCAGGGAGTTTAGGATAAGCTTTTTGTAAAATTGTTATCAAACTGTATTTTCTTTTTTTTTTGAGTCAGAGTCTCACCCTGTTGCCCAGGCTGGAGTGCAGTGGCATGCTCATGGCCACCTCAGCCTCGACCTGCTGGGCTCAGGCGATCCTTCTGCCTCAGCCTTCCAAGTAGCTGGAACTACAGGTGCGTGCTACCACGTCCAGCTTATTTTTTTTTGATTTATTGTAGAGACGAGGTCAAGTTGCCCAGGCTGGTCTTGAATCCCTGGACTCAGGCAATCCTCTCACCTCCACCTTCCAAAGTGCTCAGATTACAGGCGTGATCCACTGTGTTCGACACAGTTGTATTTTCTGACTTCCCCTCCCCTTACTGGTTCTGGGATGACCTGGGCAATCCTTTGCTTGCCTCATCCAGGACATGAATGAGCCAAAGTGTTCTCTGGGAGGTGACCACTGGCCATGGTCTTACTGCCATGCCCTCTCTGTTCTAGGGATACAGCTGTGAAAGGTCAGCCCACCTGTAGGAAGGGGTCGCTGATTCCAGATATACTGTGTTCTGTGGAGTATCCTGTTGTCACCAGGGTCCGGAGGATCTGCACCAGCTGGGGTACCACCTGGAGGGAGGGCACAACCTTATCTGGGCATTCTTCTTAATCCTCTCTATCTGAAACCCCATTCCTCCCTGGCGGCCCTCTTTTCCAGGCCCAGGTCTGTCCCTTTGCCAGCCCACCTTTTGAAAGTGCCTGAGGGCTGCAGGGCTTCGTTCGCAGAGCTCGGTGATCAGCGTGATGGTACCCAGCAGGATGCCTGGGGTCAGGGCATGGGAAGTGAATGGTGGGCCAGGGGCAAGGGAGAATCTACTGTGTGTGTGTGTACTACCCTTCTCTTGTGAGCTGATGTTCTCATCCAATTTTTACTTCTTCTGTCCATAGCCAGAGCTGAAGCAGAGGATGGGAAGCCCCATGGAAGCTTACCATGGTGGCGCTCGTGAAGCAGTTGAGTACAAGGTGGGAGGAAGATGCTGGAGAGCCCTGGGACCTTTCGGATCATGTGCACTGCAGTCAGAATGGCCTGCAGGAGTCAGGGGCCTCAGACAGGGATCTGTGGGGATGGATTCCCCCACCTCTACTTTTTTTTTTTTTGAGTTGGAGTCTCACTCTGTCGCCCAGGCTGGAGTGCAGTGGCACACTCACAACCACTCCAGCATCAACCAGTGATCCCTCCGCTTCAGCCTACCAATAGCTGGAACTACAGGCGTGCACTAGCACACCTGGCTAATTTTTTATTTATCGTAGAGATGAGGTCTCACCAAGTTGCCCGGGCTGGTCTCAAACCCACGGGCTCAGGCAATTCACTCATCTCGGCTTCCCAAAGTGCTGGGATTACAGGCTGAGCCACTGAGCCCGGCACCCCACCTCTACTACATGGCACACAGGAGATAGTTTCTGGAGGTGCAAGTGCCTAGAGTCCTGCTATCTCACCTTCTTGCGCACATAGGGGCTGGGCTTCAGGAGAAGTTTCTCCACCTCTGTGGCCAGGTCCTGGCACATCTCAGCAGAGCCCATGGTGCTCAGAGTGCACAGGGCCAGGCCTTGTACTGGCTGAATCCCCTGGCTCAGGTCACTGCAGGGTTGGGAGGATGGTCTGTCAAGTCTCTGAGAAAACCAATCATTCCCAGTACCCACACAGGCAGCCCTATGGGATTTCCCAGCTCCCCATTCTCCCATCTCCCTGATTCCAAGTGACTCCCAGAACCCTCTCACTTCTTGATGCTGTTGGTAATGAGCAGGTGGGCATCGTGCCTCTCATCCAATAGAAGCATGGCCCCCAGGTAGCCCACCCTCTTGTCTGTGAATCTGGGGGAAGCGATCAGTTTCAGGCACTCCATCTATAGGGAAGGAGACAGGCCAGGAAGGGGCAGGGGTGGAACCAGAGGCACTGATATCCCTGTTCTATCTTCCTCTTTAACACCAGATTAACTTGTGGGGCATCATAGCTCATAACCCTCCCTTCAACAAGAGGAGGGGCTTAGGAGATTCAGGCGTTAGTGGGTAGTTTCAAAGAACCAGGAGTTGAGGAGGATGGGTGGGAAGAGGAGGAGGTGCCTTGGACCAGGGCTAGCCAGAGAATCAAGGGCTCAGGTCAGCTGATGTCCAATGTGGCTTGTAATGGGGAAAGAGGTTTGGGATGCGTGCTGTGAGAGCTCAAAAACTGTAGAAAGAAAAAAAAAAATCAGGCCACAAACAGGTGAGGGGTCCGAAACCCTGCCCCACTAGTCTTCCTCGTCAAAGTCAGGAGAGCGGTATCCCAGGCCAGTACCTGTCCAAAGTGGGCAGGGTAGCCCAATATGTGGACGTAGAGTAGTTTGGCCAGCTGGCGGTGCCTGTGCAGAGGGTCCCCATTGCGGAAGGAGGCCCGGATGTGGGCGCACTCCTTCTGGATCACCTCCCGCTCCTGGGCCTGAGTCCTGGCCCCGCGAATCTCTCGGATTAGATCCTGAAGCTTCAGCGAAGGCGCCACCATCCTGAGGCAGAGCCCGGGAGTGGAGAGGGGAACACCGAGGGTGCCTGGTCTTTCTGCCCAGGCTTGTCCTGTGCCAAGACCCTAAGAGCCCGAGTCCTGCACTCACTCTAGTTTGAGCCTACATTTTCCCTTTCCCCTCGTGAGTCTCCAAATTCCGCCCCGATCCCACCACCGGAGGAGACCCCTCCCAATGCGCATGCGTGCCTGCACTCGTCCCTAATGCGCATGCTCCAGGGCTCCGCCCATTCCTCAGCCCTTTCCTCCCCACACATGGTATCCCATCCCTAGCTCGGCCCTTCCTTTCCTTCCAAGGTCCCGCGCTCTTTCTTCCTCGGGACTCCTAACCCCAATCCCACCTCAGGCAGCTGCAGCTTCCCCACCCCAGGGCGCCAGCCTTACCTGGCTTCTGTCTCAACTCCGTTCCTGACCCCCTGGTGCTTCCTGGTACAGGGCCGAGCGGGGGTTGGTGCTTAGTCTGGGCCTTCCCTCTCCCCGCCTCCACCACGGGACCCCGCCCTTCCTGGGCCGGCCTGCTGAGCTCTCTTGAGTCCTCTAACCTCGGGCCTCCGGCTTTAGAGTTTAGGGGAAGGAGCTCTTATTGCCTGGGGCGGTGAGACAGGAGGGTAGGCCTGGGGTTCCCCAAGAGGCCTCCTCGTACATTCTCACCACCCGGAGAGCCTCGGAGAGCTTGGATTTGAAGCCATCGCACCCCAAAGGAGATGACAATCCCCCCCCTTTTTTGAACTTTTTTATTAATATATTTTTTTGTTAAATTTCTTTGTATTTTTTTTTTCCTGCAAGACTTGGTGTTGGCGGCACTGTTGTAGTTTAACTTCAATCCCAAATTCCATGAAATAGAAATCAGAAGAAAAGGTTGAGAGGGAGGAAGGAGGGAGGCAGGCCAAGGAGTAAACAGAGTTTGACTAGAAAAAAAGAAGAGGGTATGTGTTGGGCATTCCTGGGCAAGGCCATTCCTTGAGGGAGGGGGTTGGCAGGCAGCTTGCCTCTGCCTCATGCAGGGGAGGGAGGAAAGATCCCCTGGGGACCCTACAGTCCCCTCTTCCTAGGGCTTCCTGCTCCCAGGGAAAAAGCTAGTACCAGGGATCAGCCACAACAACCTCAAACAGGGCTCTCCATCCACCTCTCACCCGGGTTTGACTCCCACCTCTGCTCTGCCTGGAAAGTGTGTGAGAGATCTGCTTCCTCGGATCCCCTCCTTCTGTTGTTTTCCCATTTCACAAGATTCTGATGTGATGGGGGAAGAGACATAACCCATTTTGAGACTACTAAACTTGTCACAGCTTCTACTTCCTGGTGAGCTCCTGTTATCTTGTCCAGTTCTACCCCCAAGAAGTGCCTCCCCCACCCCAACTGCCAGAGTTGGGGTGTGGGGGCCTTGCTCAAGTGCCTCTAACCCTCTGCAGTAGAAATGTCTTCTTCAGGCCCCTTAGGAATTTAATCAAAGGCCACAAGTGAGTCCAGACCAACCAAATAAACTATTAGAGGGAGACGGAGGGGTGGGAGAGGTGAGTGGCGAAGTTGCAAAGTCTGGGAGGGGGTGGACTTGACTGCATTGGATATTTTTTTGCTCCTTTACACATTGCTCTTGGCATGGCATGCCACCAAAGGGTGCTGGAGGAGGGACTGGCTGATGAGGAAAGAAAGAGTTCCTAGGGAGTAAGTCTACTTTTCACTTCCCTTATCTCCCTTGGGGAAGGATTGAGTTAGGCAAGAACCTAGCTCACTGCTTGGAGGTGAGATAATATCCTCCAAAGTAGGAGGTGAAGGCTGCACCTCCTGCAGCTTTTTCACTAGGCCTCAGAGGGACACCAAGCTTCTCGGGGCCAGGGAGCCACAGCAGCTCAGCCAGTGTCTTGCCCAGCATTCAGTCGCCCCTTTTTCATTTTCATCCTCCTCTCCATTCAGCTTCCAGGAGTCTCCTCAGGACACCAAACCCCCACCCTCAGTGAAGTTAGGGTCTAAAGAAAAGGTGGGGAGGGCATGGGGGCAATGGTCTGACTTAGATTTGTGTGTCTCAGAGAAGAGAGCAACTCTGAGAGAGAAAAGCCCTTCATATGTAAACAATCTAGAGAAAGGGATTGGGGTAGGGACGAGAGCGAGGAAGACAGAGACATTCAGAATAAATGAGAGAATCTGAAAGAAGAGAAGGAAAGAAAAAGCAAGAGATAAAAATAAAGGGGGACAGAAAAGAAAGGGCAAAGAGAATGAAAGATAGGAGAAAACACAACCAGGAAGAGGAAAAGAGAAAAAGGCAGGTCAAAGGGGTGAAGAGGCAGGCAACCAAAGCCAGAACTAGGCCAGGAAGTAGCCTCAGGTGAGGAGCTGGGAGAACAGGAACGCCAGGCTGAGGTCCAGGAGGGCCACGGCTCCCACCACCAGGGGGTTGGCAGCTCCCTAGAGAGACAGAGAGGGAAGCCGACTCAGTCCCTGAGGACCAGGTCCCCCCTTCCTGCCCTGGCTGGAAGCCAAAAGGTTCCAGGTACCTTCCCACAGAGGCCAGAGAAGGGGGATCTCCAGCCTTTGTTTTGGATTACAAAACACTCCTCTTCTCCCAGGCAGGGCCTCACTTTCCTGGCACCTTTAAGGCAGGGACAGCCCTTCTTCCCTCCTCCCTCCACTCCCCTCCCACCAGCAAATCATGTGGCCCAGGCAGGAGGTGCCTGGCCTTAGTAGCAGACATTGGCAGCAGCAGCCAGTTCTGCAGTAAGGCAGAGGGATGAAGGGGTGAGGATGTGGTTGCCAGGAAACAGGAGAAGGCTTGGAGTCCAATCAGAGTTGAGGGTTCTGGGCAAACTCCGCCTCTCCCAGTTTTCTGCCTTCTTCCCTGTTTCGACTTCTTCCCAGGAGAGGGAGGGAGAGTCAGGGTAGGGAGGGAACAAGCTTTTCCTTTTTTATTTCTGGGCACCAAAGAGAGAAAGTGCGGAGGTGGGGGTGGGGGTGGAGTAGGAAACTGGGAGCTGGAAATGATATGGAAGGAGAACAGGGGAAAATGTTCTGGCGCTGCCGTTAATTATTAGTTTGTAACCTTGGGCAAGTTGCTTTAAATGCTCTGGGCCTCAGTTCCCCCATCTGTCAAATGAGGGAGTTGGACTTGAAGGCCCCTAAGGTTCTTTCCAGCTCCAAAGCTATCGATTTTTTTGAGGTGGGATATGGTCCAAGACTGGCCAGGCAGAGGAAGCCAGACAGAGATAACAGCCCCTCAGGGGATGAGACAGAGGTCTGGAAAAGGGTGGGCAGCAAGGCTCTGAGGACAGGAGGGCACAAAGGGGGACAGAGGATGTCTCACCGGCTGGGCAGGCCTCTCGGTTGCAGCAGGCTCCTCGAACTCTTCTGTCAGGCACCCAGCATCAGGACCCCTCGAGGATGGGCCCCTCAGGACCCGCATGGTGACAGGCTCAGGCCCTGAGCCTGCTGGGGCCCTCAACTGGGGCAAGGGCTCTTCATCTTCCCCCTCCTCCTCTCGAAGACTTCCTGAACTGTCGCTGCAGCCTCCAAGGAGTGGGGAACCGTCTCTGGGCCCTGGCCCCTGCATCCCTGCCTCGTCCTCAGCCTCATAGCCAGCTAGTTCCTCTGCCTGCTCGCCTGGGCCCCCCCACTCCTCGGGCCAAGCTTTGGGGCTGGAGAAGAGACCCTGGTCCCCTCCAGGAGGCAGTGGGCTCCGGCAGGCAGGGGGTCGCCAGGGCTGGCGGGAGGAGGCAGGACTGCTGGGCAGTTCGGGGGATCCCTCTGAGGGAGTCAGTCCATTCTCATACACCCCAGGGCTGTCCTCATCCAAGGGCTCTGTGTCGGAACCTTCTGAGTCCTGCCTGGGTCTGCGGCCTGGGGAGGGATAGCTAAGAATCAGAGGGGCCCAACTGGCCTTGGGCTGGAGTGGCTGCAGCCTTATCTCCCTGCCTGGGCACTTTTCAGGGCTTTAGTGTCCCCAGGCTCATGGCTTCTCACCATCAGACCCCCAAGCCCTCATCACCCTACTTCATAAATTCCCAGTCCTGTTTCTCAGACAATTGGGCCTGCCCTGCCTCCACCTCTGGCCACCCTCCTGCCCCTCGAGCCCTGATACCTTGGCCTTTCTCATCCCTAGTTCCCTTGCAGGGCTTTCCATCCTCTTTTCCCACACCTGAGCCTCTCTAGCTCCCCAGGGGCTCGCCCCCTCCCCCCTGGTTCCCACAGCTCACCTGGGGCCTCTAGCATGGGTTGCAGGTCCTGGGCTATCAGTTTGGCCATTCGGGCTGCCTCCACAGCCTTCTCGGCGACACTGCTGGCTGCCACTGCCTTTAGGAGGGCGTCTGCTGCCCTGTTGGGGCCGAGGATGGGGACTTAGCAGAACTTCCCCTACTTCAAATTAGCCCCTGCTCAGACGCTCCAGCCCCCTTGTCCCTGTCCCACCACATCACATCCTCCTGATCTGAGTGCTCCTCTCTAGTCTCTCCCTTCTTCACTGGGCCAGCTGTTCCCCTTCTCAGCAGGCCTGGGCAGCTCCCCTTTGGTTTCCTCTCCTGGACCTGGGCTGTGTCTGCCGTCATCACACCCTCCTGCTCCTCTCACACCCTTCTACCGCTGCATCCTGTCCTGTAGTAACACTTCCTTTCTCCAGCTGCAGGGGCCAGGCCCTTCTCCAACTCTTACTCCATTCCTTTCCTGCTCCCTTCCCAGTGAGAGCTGAGCACTACCTTCACATATCAGCTACAGTCCTGCCTGGTGCTTACAGCTGTCTGCCACCCTCTTTGCAAACAACATCTCCTGTTGTTACCAAGCCCTCTTACATCCCCTGGGGTCACAGGCCTCTTTGTGGAGCCCTGTACCTTGGTCTTGCCCTCCTAGCAGCTTCACCTCCCCTACTCCTTTGCTGGGTCCACTATCTCCCTCGTGTTAGGAGCTTTTGTCTCCCTCTCCCTTTCTACTGCAAGCCCTTCTTACTATTTAATCCTCCCTCTTCTAGTATAGGTTTCCTGACACTAGAATGTCCCATCCTGCTTTCCTTCAGCCTCTTTTGTTTTCACATTGTTCTCCCTTTGCCCTCCCCACCCCGCATGCTTTTCTGGGCTCTGGAACTGGAGTAAGGGTGGGTCTCCCCTTTCTGCTATGATCCTATCCCCTCTACCTGCTAATATGCATGCTTTCTCATAATTGTGATGATGCCATCTGGGTAAGCTCTTAGTCCCCCTTCCACAACACCCCTTCCATCCATCCCTGCTCCTTAGGTGCAAGTAATCTCGAAACATTATCATTCCTTCCCTCATTGTTGTTTATCAGTTCTCCCTCTGATGTCAGATGCATCCTCAATTTTCTCTTCCCTTTCACCCTCTGCTGTTAATCACAGATGCCTTGTAATCATTAAATTAGTTCTGTAATTCTGAGTAAGGGTGGGACACAAAGGAGCAGAGATGGAGGTAATCAGATGTGCTTGCCATGGGGCTTGAATGGATCAAGATCCATGACTTCCTCTGTTTCATCTGACTTAGGGAGGCAGTCTGGGCATGAGGAGGAAGTAGTGATGTCCACTGTAGTCTTAGATTCACCTCTTAATTATGTCCTTTGAGAGATGGTACATCCTTCTCCCCTCACCTGGTGGGTCAAGGATCTTTAGAGACTGCTTGGAGGGATCTTGGATAACTCTGTTCTTCTGTCCTAGGGTTTTCAGACTCTATATGACTAGCATTTTCCTGAAACTCAGGCTTTGGGGCAGGGTATGAGGATCATGGTCTTGGGTTGCACTGAGTGAGTCCTATTGGCAGCCACGAAACTGATACACTGACAAGAGATGTATCTTGTGGTACAAGAAACAATGGATGATCAAATCCTATGTAGTAGACTTACTTAGTCTGTGCTCAAGCTACCTGGCAGAGACACCTGCTGCTGAGGCTCTGCTGTTTCCATGGCAGCCGGCAGCCAATCACGCTTGCTATGCCTGTTGCTGGGGAGACCAACCAACCTCCTCCCACTGACTGAGCCTCTAGTTACTGAGATCAGTTTTTTCTGCACATGCATACACTCTATCTAGCCTAAAATGTTCTCTGGTGCTCTGCCCTCTGCTTATTCTGGCTGAAGGCCCTGGACTCTAATATCCAGACACTCTGACACACCTGTAGATGCACATTCTCTGGCTCAAGCATCTACTATGGGTTTGACATGTACACACACACACACACACACACACACACACACACACACAAAGTCACCTATTATACAAACTCATTGGAGCATATTTTGACATATCCTGATCTCTGACCTCCTGAAAATGTCTCAGATTTAAAGAAAATTCCTCCATTATGCCCCATTCCTTTTAAAGAAAATTCAGTATATGAAAATTAAAATGTGTGAGTTGTATACATCAAGAGGCTGTGAATCTCATTACAAGTAGATTTTTGGCTGCCTTTAGAATTGTGCTATCTAATTCGGTAGTCATAAGCCATGTGTGGCTTTTAAGCACTTGAAATATGGCTAGTCTGAATGGAAATAATGTGCTTTAAGTGTAAA